ATTGTAAATCAACACATTCTTTGCAGCACTGCTTTGCCTGTAGGAAATAAGCCCCTAGGCAGGAAGTGTATGGGTCGGGTAGCATCATACTTGTCTTTGTACTCTCAGTGCACAGGGTATATAATAGGGCTTGGCTATGTTGGGTGAATGCCTGAATCAATCCTATGGAAAAAGAGTTGAAGGAATAGAGGATGATTAACCTGGAAGAAGAGAACTTTTTTAAAAACACGACTGCTGTCTCTGGATATTTGAAAATCTACTATGTGGCAGAAGAGCCGAATGAGGACACTATGTGGATATTTCAAATAGGCAGATTTTTAAAAAATTATTTTCAATTTTTTAAAAAGATTTTTTTTTTTTTAATTTACGCATACAAGAGCTGGGGTATAGGCCAGAAGTGCGAGGTGGGAGGTGAGAGGATTATTCACCAGAGACAGAGTGGGGAGCAGAACAGATGGATTGACTGAAATACACTGCTGAGGGTTGCAGTGCGGGAGACAGAAGTCTGCTGTGCCATGTGGGTCAGCTCCTTGGCTGGGGATAGTGATGATGCTCAACCCCTTGGGCCGCCAGGGAGGCCCCTTAACCTTGATTTTATTTGTATGATAAAGTTCAATTATGGGACTATTATACATCAGTCATTTCTACTCTAAATTCTTACCTTGTTTCCTATTTGGAAAACCCAGATAACTTAAGAGAAGTTCTATGGCTTAAAGAGATAGGCCAGAGGAGGAGTAGAAAAGTTTCAATCTGAAATCTGCTCCTGAATCCTTGTACAATCACCTGTAAATTACTCAGCTTCTTAGCATCTCATTTTTCTGTCCATAAACTGATGACAAGAGAAATTTACCCTAGTCTTCCTGTTAAAGATCTGTGTTAAGCTTGGCTTAGTTCTCGATCAATCACCAAGTGGCAAATTCCTGAGCAAGTTACTTAATCTTTCTGGGCTTCAGTTTCTTTGTAAGTTTAGAGAATTTGGGCAAGAGGTACACTATCCAGTACGAAAGTGGCTATTGAGCACTTGAAATGGCTAATGGGGTTGAAGAGGAACAGAATTTTTAATTAAATTTAAATTTAAGTGAAACGAAACTAAATAAAAAATTGAAATTGTGTAAATTATTTTTCTTTTAAAAATCATATATATATTTTAGATGACATTGGTTCACAATACTGTATATGATTTAGGGGTGTAGACTCACACCTCTTAAGATGTGCATTACTACACCGCACCTACTACCAAGGCACCCATAGACTTCCACCATAGTCCCTTGACACCCACCCACTTGCTTCTCACCATTACCTTCCTGCTCTTAAAATATTTTTATTTTAGACACATTATATTTGGTAGGACTGTATTTCACTTTAACCACTGAAAATTTAACATCCTTATTGAGATGTATTGGAAACATAAAATACATATTGTATTTCAAAGATAGTATGAAAAAGACAAAGAAGCTCATTAATGATGTTTTATGTAGGCTATATGTAGAAAAGATAATAATATTTCACATACATTGGGTTAAATAAAATTAATTTAATGCTTAATATTTTATTAAATTTAATTTTACCTGTCTCCTCTTTAAAATATGGTTACTAGAAACATTTGAATTACATATCTGGCTCACATTTATTCTATCTGCTAGTAGACAATATGATCTCATTTACATCTTCCAACAGTAAAGCTTATTTTTCTATGTAGCTGTTGTGGAAGTTCAGCTCTGAGTAGCTTGGAGCATTAATTGCAAAGTAGAGTGTGAGTTACAAGCGTACTTGTAAGTTGAGTGATTGGGGCAATTCATATAACCTTACCAGGCCTGTTTCAGCATTTGAGGATTAAAGATAAATGTGTCTGGGCCTCCCCTGGTGGCGCAGTGGTTGAGCACTGGGTTGCGAGGCTACCTGCAGCCTCTGCAGCGCCAGTTCGATGCCCGGCCACCGGCGAGGGTCCCACCAAAAAAAAAAAAAAAAAAGATAAATGCTTCTACCTTGCAGAACTGTCGTAAGGGTTAAATAAAGAAAGGTATGTAGGTTCCAAGCAAAGTGCCTGCAACCATGCTACAGCTAAGTCTCTCCTATCTTCCTGTCTCTCTGACTGTAATTTTTAATACTCACATGCACCAAAAGAGGAAGCCAGGATATGAACGTTTCAGCAGAAGCACCAGTTCTTAGAGTCAAGGTGAGCAGAGGCTTAGGAGGTCGTGGGAAACATGCGGCTTTGTGAACAGGAACCAGTCATTTTCGGGCTTGATCCTTGATGTGATCCAGGTGTTCATTTCTGGCCATGCACACTCATGTCTCTGTTTCCCTTTACTGTTCCCCTTTGCCCCAACTGTAATTAGTTATAGTCCAGGCTTTTGTAGTTTGCTGCTTCTAGGATGTGGGAATGTCATAAGACAGAATTCAGACTGTGGGAAAGGAGACAAGCCCCCTCCCTTTTGGACCATGGAGGTTGTCAGGAGGCAGGTGAGAAAAAAATACTTCGGAGCAGGTGCCAAGTGTCATATGTAGTGTGGGCTCTGCATATCCTCCCTACCCCCAATGCCCAGAGAGAACTCAACCAGGATGATGAAAAATAAAAAGGGCAAGAGGTCTATAGAACATTAGCTTCAGGACATGGGACAAGCCAAGGTCTTAAAGATACAGAGTTATGGCACAAGATAGTTTCATTCAACCAATATTTATTTATGGCAAATTGAATTTTTATTTAATCAATACTAATAATTTCTAGAAGTGAAGGGAATAAACTCTGGGGTCAGAAAAACCTGGCATGGGATGTTAGTTCTTTGCATTCTTGGATGAGTTATTTAATCTCTCTGATCCTCATTTTCCTCTTCTGATAGTTGTGTCCAATATCGTCTACCTCATGGGGTTGTTGTAAATGAAGATTAAACAGGGCAAGGCACAGTGTCTGGGGCATGGTGAGGGCTCAAGATATGGGAACTATTATTTTCTTCTTGAAGTAATATTTATTTATTTTAAGTTGTGATTCTATTATTATTTAACATACACATAAAACCAGTTTTTGTTTGAAGCAGCTTTTCATCTCTTGACTGATTTTGTTAGGGCTATTATATTTCTTTATCTGTATGATCTGTTTACTTTGGTACTTAAAACAAAGAATTATAATATAAATTAGAAAAGAAAATACCCTCACGGTGACTTGGAATTTCATTACCTCAAAGGGCACTAGCTTCTGTTCCGTTGCCTCTGTGTGGGTAGTTGAAGAGGGGTGCTTCTGTGTTTCCTGTGGGAGTTGAGGCAACTGAAGTCATTTGATGCCCTTAGTCCCCCCACAAGAATAAAGATGTTCAAAAAGGTGCTGATGATCTTGGCACTAAGGTTGCCCCTCTAGAAGATGGGAAGAAATTACCAAAGGGTGGCCTCCCTGGTGGCTCAAGGGGTTAAGCACAGCACTGTGAAGCTATCTGCAGCCTCTGCAGCACAAGTTCAACCCCCAGTCAGCCAGGTTGCTACCCACATGGAGCAGCAGACCTCTCCTGACTCGCCCGCTGCTCCCCTCAGCAGTGTATTTCAGTCAGTCTGCCTGTCTCTGGTGAATCCCCACTCTGTCTCTGATGAATCCTCTCATGCCCCTGTACCTCTGGCCTATACCCCAGTTCTTGTATGCATAAATAAATAATTCTTTTTAAAAAAGAAATTACCAAAGGGAATTAAACATTTTTTAAAAATCACCTTTTGATTTTACTCTTAACATAGTCAATTAACAGATTTAGGGTAGAAAGAACAAAAGGAATAATCCTCCTTTGTGGATTCCTGAGACACCTGCTCTATGAGCATCTAAGATCACACCACATCTCACTGCTGCCCGGGACTCTGCTTTGGGAGTGAATCTGGAAGCAAAGAAACCTTTCTTTGTTCTGGTGTTCATTGCTTTCGAAAAGTGCATCCCTGTGGTTAGGCACATGGCATGCAGGAATGCCGGAGACATCTGAACCCTGGGCTGCTGCTCCCTTAACTTGAGGGAAGCTCTGGATGTTAAGCAGCACGGAGGGAAGCCATGACATCACTTGACCAGGTTCCCATGACCCCTTGAACATACCTTTATTGCTGCACCTGTCACACACATGATTATTCCCTTAGAGCTCTGTTGCCAGCAGGATTATGAATGCATCTGGCAGTGTTGCAAACTCCCAGGGCACCATTCAGATGGTCGCTGGTGTGAGTAGCTTCTTCTGGAGGTGTGCCCTTGTCAGCCCTCTGCAGGGGCTCTGCCTGGGGACAGGCAGGAGGGGGTGGTTAGTTGCTTGGCCTTGCACATCTTTTATTCTGGCATTTGGTGCATGATAAGTGCTCAACAAATATTTTTGGAATGAATGACACTGGTTTTATCATTTATTTTTAGTTGATTTGACCCATTTTCTTAATCTGGGAATCTTTTCATCTAACCAATTATCCTATTAGGAGTTTCCCCCCTTTCACATGGGAAAGTGCTTCAGTATTAAAGATTTATGTTATTCATATGTTTTGTGCATGCAGCAAAATTTATGGCAAGGTGATTTCACTTGTGATGGAAAGTGGGGGTATTCAGGCTACTCTGTACCACTTCAGTCTGCCATGCTCCACCCACTTTTCAGTGCAACTCAGTGGCCTTCTGGCCTCATTTTCAATGTTACAGATGTAATTCTGGAAAAGAAACTGTGTTCATAGCTTCAGAATATAAAAACAAAAAATCAACAAAATCAACCAGAACAGACACAGAGTTTTGTAAACAAAGTGGGAATGAATTCCATCAATTTTCCTGGAGGATGGAGCAAGCAGAGCAGTGACTGTGGATTGTTTACCCTTTCTAGGATTTTTCTGATTTCTTGAATTCAGATTTCAGTGAGGAGAAATTTAGCCCAGAATGTTCATGGGACCAGGACGAGAAAGCCCACTAACCATGCCCCCACCTCTGAGTTTTTCCAGCTCAGATAAACAGCTAGTGAGCTCTTAATCTGTGTCAGTTTTTTGAGTGACCTCCTGGATTTTCACTTCTTCAGATCTACCTCAATCTGCAAGCCTCCTGTAATGGGGGAGTAGACCCCACATCCTTCGTTGATCTTGAAGAAACTGATCTGTGAGATTTGAGTTCACCTGATCTGTTAAAAAAGGAACACAAATGCACCTAGAGGACCCCTTTCTCTCGACCAAGCCTGGCTTTCAAAATAGTGAGTATTTTTTCCATTGACAATCCTGTTGTAAAATCCCACCCTTTCTTCTTAGATGCCCCAAGAACTGTAGGTTTCTGCTTGACTAGAAAGAAGATCATGCATGTGGGATGAAAAAGAGCAAAGTCCATTAAAATATTTAAAAAATCATTCTCTTTAATAACAGAATTCATGTTGAGGCAACTGGCTAGCCAAATCCTGTTTCCCAGAGGACAGAGAACCTTTCATGCAGAAAACCGGCAGAAGCCAAGTCCCAAGTGTCAGGACATTAGAAACTGGTTCCCTTCCAGGCTGTTATTCATACTTGACCGCTCACCCCCACATTAGCTCACCCCAAATGCAGATAGAGGCACAGTGGTGTACAGACCAGGTTTGTCAAATCAAACTTCCACTTTTCTTTTCTTGAGTAGCGTATTTCATTCAGGTCCAGTGGGGGCCGGAGGTGAGGCGGGCCAGGGGGAGAGGGAGTAGGTGAGACATGTCTCTCTTCTGTTTACTCCAGAAAATGTTCCTTTATGTCTTATTGGTTCTGACTCAGTCACATGTCTTCCTGCCACACATTTGACCCAGGGAATATGATGCTGTGATTGGCCAGGACTAGTCACCTGTGTCATCCCTGAGACAGAGACATAGGGCAAGAGCTGAGAATGGTGTTGCCACGGGAAAACTGGGGCACTGGCAGAAGGAGAAAAGAGGCTGGTCAACTCAAGCAAAACTTATTAAGAGACTTCAGTAATAACTTGCATTTATTGTTTAAACCTTTGAGATTGGAACCGGTTTTTTTTTAAAGATTTATTTATTTATTTATACAAGCACTGGGTACAGTCAGAAGTGTGGGAGGGTGAGAGAATTCACCAGAGTCAGAGCGGGGAACAGAAGAGGTAGATTGCCGAAGTACACTGCTGAGGGGGGCAGCGGGCGGCAGGAGAGGTCTGCGCGCCATGTGGGACCCTTGCCGGCGGCAGCTAAGCAGCCCAGCACCCAACCGCTGTGCCACCAGGGGAGGCCTTGGAACTGTTTCCTTTTTAAGGTGATGCTATGTTGATTCCCAGGTAAACATAAGTTGCCCAGGTTATAAGCACCTGTGTTTACAGAGTGGATTTGATTTTACAGTTTTTCCCCAAATCTTTGTAACAACCCCATGAAGTATATAATTTTATTCTCATTCTATAGGTAAGGAAACTAAGGTATAGAGAGGTTAAATAACTAACTATATACTACACAGTCCTTTGTTTTTTATTTTCTTATATTGTTGTTCATTTTTGTACAGTATTTGATTTCTTCCCTCAGATGTAGCCCCCACAGTTCTCCTGCCACCACAGCACCCATGATCCATCATCACAGTCCCTTGTGCTCTTCCCACCCCTGTTTTGACCCCTCTCCCTCCCTTGCTGTATGCCTCAGATCTATGATCAGCTTGCTAGTTTTATCTTTTTCTTGACCTTTTGTTCAGTTTCTTTATATTCTGCATATAAATGAAAACATCTGATATTTATCTTTTTCCTTCTGGCTTATTTCAGTGAGCATAGTCTCTTAACTGCAGGAGCCAGCTGATAAAGCCAGGCTGGGTGATTCTACATTCCTGATACTTTCCACTCTGCCCTGTGAGAGAGAAAGAGGCTCGTGAAAGTAGTTGCAGTATGAGTGCAGCAGGGCACAGATTCAGAAGAGAGCTCAGAGGAGTTAGCAACAGACTATACAGTGACTCACTGATGGTGGGTGAAGGTGGAGGTGGTGGTGAAGGAGAAGCAGTGACTCAGCCTTCCTGCTCCAGTGACTCGAGAGTGGATGCTGCTTCCATTCATTAGAACAGAGCTCACAGGCAGAGCTGATTCCCGCCTTGCAGTCATGTCCCTCCTATCCCACATCACCCCTGAGCCACTCCCCATGATACCCAAACAATAAGCATCCCTCCCTTCCTAAAGCCCTCCACCATCTAATAGTACTCCTGCATCTGGGGTCCTCTGTTCTAGGTGGCTCTTGCTTTTCCGGTGGTCTTGTGGTCTAACCTTTATGTCTTCTCTCAAGTTCTTTTAGGGCTCAGTTTCCTTTGCTGCCCATTTGGATCCTGGTTGGTGACACTTGAGTGAGCCTTAGTGCTTGGGGTGCATGAGTTTCAGTACACAGTAAATGCTTCAGTTTCCCCTCTTTAGTCCTAGCACTCCAGTGCTGCTTTGAAAACTGGTTCATTGGTTGAACCCTCATGTTCTACGTAATTCTTGCAATCCCCTTCTGTCTCACTTAGGGCAATACCTCACTTGGATAAATAGTCCTCAGTGATGAGCTAGCATCCTGACTCCTGATTATTGGTCACGGCTTGGATGCCCCAGAGAGTTGCTCTGTTTCACTGTTTACGTGGCTGGGAGTCATTGGCCTTGTCTCTTCCAAGACTCTTAGATATTGCTATCCCTACTTGGGTGTCCCTGTTATAGCTGTCAGTTCTATTCTTATTTCCCTTCCTGACAGAATTTTTTCCTACCTCAGAGCCTTTGCATTGGCTGTGCCCCTGCCTGCAATGCTCTGCTTCTTGACTTGGTTGTCTTTCCTAGCCCTTCAAATCCCAGCTTAAATTCCTGTTCCTACTCAATGTTGCCTGCCCCCCTCTCCTCTCTTTTTTCTTTCTTTTTTTTTTTTCTTTTTTCTTTTCCCTCTCCTCTCTTTTGATCCATCACTCCATTTATCCTTTGTCATCATGCCAAGATATTTGGAATTATTTTATTTGGGTTGTGCTTTCTTATCTGTTACCTCACTAGAATGAAAGCTCTTGGAAGGCAAAGGCCTATATTCGAAGGCCTAGAACAATGCCTGCTATAAAGTAGGTATTCAATAGACTATTTGTGGAATGTCACTGAATGATTCTCAGTCGCTGAGACCACATCACATCTGGTTTATGTCATGGGAGAAGATAAACAGATTTTGTGCAGGCTGTCTGCTTGGAGCTGCAAATCTCCCTCTGTTCAATGATCCACCTGACCTGTCAGGTAAATTTCTAAATTCAGCTCAGAGTTGTTCTCTCAAAAACCTTTTTTTGCCTTGCCCTTCAAAGCAGTACCAGACATCCTTTTTTCCTTGCCCTATTAGCTCCTCTTTCCAAACTTTAATTATCTACCTGTCATATCATATTGTACACTTGCTTGTTTATCCATATTTCTCCCCAATTAGACTGTGAACTTTTTGCTAGTGAAATTCAATGGGGTTTGGATCTCTGAAGTCTAACACAGAATTAAAATGCAACTCCACAAAAAATTCAACTCTTGATGGGAGTGTAGAACTGGTCCAGCCCCCATGGAAAGCCGTGTGGAAGCTCCTCAAACTACTAAAAAATGGATCTGCCATAGGACCCAGCAATTCCACTCCTAAGAATCTACCCAGAGAACACAAGAACACTAATTCAAAAGGAAACCTGTACTCCTATGTTTATAGCGGCACTATTTACAATAGCCAAGATGGAAATAACATAAATGCCCTCAAAAAGATGAATGGATTGGGCCTCCCTGGTGGCGCAGGCAGTTGAGTGCCGCACTGTGAAGCTGTCCACAGCCTCTGCAGCCCGGATTCGATCCTGGCGAGAATCCCACATGGTGAAGCAGATCTCTCCTGTCTCTCCCGCTGCTCCCCTCAGCAGTGTGTTTAGGTTGTCTGCCTGTTCTGCTCCCTGCTCTGTCTCTGGTGAATCCTCTCACCCTCTCGTGCATCTGGCCTGTACCCTGGTTCTTGTATAAATAAATAAATTAAAAAAAAAGATGAGGGCCTCCCTGGTGGCGCAGCGGTTGAGCACTGGGTTGCGAATCTGCCCGCAGCCTCTGCAGCGCTGTTTCGATCCCCGGTTGCCGGGCGAGAGTCCCACATGGCACGCAGACCTCTCCTGCCGCCCGCTGCTCCCCTCAGCAGTGTCCTTCGGTCCTCCTGCCTGTTCTGCTCCCCACTCTGGCTGTGGTGAATTCTCTCACCCTCCCGCACTTCTGACTGTACCCAGTGATTGTATAAATAAATAAATAAATCTTAAAAAAAAAAGATGAATGGATCAAGAAAATATGGTGTATATATACACAATAGAATACTACTCAACTTATCAATCGTAGAAGATAAAGTCATGCCATTTACAGCAATATGGGTGGAACTGGAAGCTTGCATTAAGTGAAATAAACAAGAAGGAGAAAGATAATATCAGTGGTTTCACTTATATGTGGAATATAGAGAAACCAAACAAAAGGTCAGCCAAAGACAACTCTTGAAATCTGACCACAGATTTGAGGCATCCAGCAGGATATAGGAGGGACAAGGAGGGGGTAGGGGTGAAGGCAGGAGGGGGAAGAGCATATTGGACTATGTATGCCTAAAGCTACCAGAAAGGAGATGTGATAGGGTAAGAACAAAGGGGAGAGGAGTCTGATGGAGAATTACTGGGATTTTGGTGGTAGGTGTGGTGAAATAACATATTATTGTAGAGGTATAAACCTATAGCCCTAAGACATATACTGTGATGTAAATCAATATGACCCAATAAATATAACTTAAAAAGATTCATCTCCACAATTATTTGTGTGGAAATATATAAATTGGTGACTGCATTAGTAATCTGGATAAGTCAGGATTAGTGATGCAATAATAAAATGAATTAATTTAACAGCCATTTATTGAAAACTCATGTAACTGAAAAAAGCTTTGAAACTCTGGCCAGTCATCTGCAAAGGCGTTCACATCATCGTTGTTGTGTCAAGTTCCTCTGAGCCATCCTCATATTCACAAGTTCCTATTCACAAACCTTAGCATGGATTGCCACAGAGTTACATGTCCTGACCCCCGTGGAATAATCCAACCATATTTCTGACGTTTTTAGCTCTTGAACAACTCTATTTTCATCTAACCTGAGTTATAGCCACTATCTCTTCTGAGATGAGCTTCATTAATCATAAGAGCATCTGTGCTGGGGAGAGCTCCTACCTCCTCCTACCCACATATGGGTTTAATGACGCACAACATGAGGGTTAGTGCAGGTT